TATAATCAATGTACAATACTCCACACATATTTAAAAGACAATTTGGGCTGGGTACAGTGGTTTACACCTGTAATCCCAGCACTTTGGGAGGCTGAGGTGGGTGGATTACCTGAGGCCAGGAGTTCCAGACCACCCTGATTAACATGATAAAACCCCATATCTACTAAAAACACAAAATTTAGCTGGGCATGGTGGCGGGGGCCTGTAATCCCAGCTACTTGGGAGGCTGAGGCATGAGAATTGCTTGAACCTGGGAGGCGGGGATTGCAGTGAGTTCAGATTGCACCACTGCACTCCAGCCTGGGCCACAGAGAGGAAAAAAAAAAAAAAAGACAATTTGATGAGTTAGAGAGGAAAAAAAAAAAAAAGACAATTTGATGAGTTCTGCTATATGTAGCCATGTGAAAACATCACAGTGAAGATAATGAATACATCTACCACACCCACAAGTTTCCTCCTGCTCCATTTTTTTTTTTTTTAATTTAATTTTATTATTTTTTTATTTTTTTAGACGGAGTTTCACTCATGTTACCCAGGCTGGAGTGCAATGGCGTGATCTCGGCTCACCGCAACCTCCGCCTCCCGGGTTCAGGCAATTCTCCTGCCTCAGCCTCCTGAGTAGCTGGGATTACAGGCATGCACCACCATGCCCAGCTCATTTTTTGTATTTTTTTTTTAGTAGAGACGGGGTTTCACCATGTTGACCAGGATGGTCTCGATCTCTTGACCTCGTGATCCACCCGCCTCGGCCTCCCAAAGTGCTGGGATTACAGGCTTGAGCCACCGCGCCCGGCCCTCCTGTCCTTTTTAATCCCTGTCTTCCTCCAGTCTCTGGACCCACACAACCAAAAAGAAGGGATACTTTCAACAAATGATACTGAAACAACTGTAAATCCACATGCAAAAAAACCCCTGGGCCCTTACCTCAAACCATATACAAAGATTGACTTATTAGAGGCTGAAACACAAAAATTAAAACTACAAATTGCCTAGAATTAAACAGGAGAAAATGTCCATGATCTTGGGTAGGCAAAGATTTCCTAGGACACAAGAAGTATAAGTCTAAGAAGCTAGACTTCAACAAAATGAAGCTCTGTTCCTCAAAATAGAATGAAGAAAATAAAAAATGTAAGCCATAAACTTGGAGAAACTATTCAAATATATATCCAACAAAACTTCTAACTAGAATATATGAAGAACTCTTACAAGTCAGTAACAAGACAACTCAATGAAAAATGGGCAAGAGACTTTGTCTTTATAAAAGATATATGTGAAAGGCCAATAAGGATCTGAAAAGGTGCTCAATGTCATCAGTACTCAAGGAAACACAAACTAAAACCACAGACAGGCAAAAGGACACAAACATAAGAATGGCTACAATTTAAAAGATGGATGATACTAATTGTTCACATGAATACAGAGGAAGTGGAACTCTCAGACACTGCTGGAGGGAATGTAAAATGAAACCTCTTGGAAACTGTTTTCCAGTTTCTTACAGAATTACCATACAATCCAGCAATTTCACTATTTATCCCAGACAAAAACATATGTCCACCCAAGACTTGCATGTAAATGTACAAGTGAATGGATAAACAAATTATAGTATATTCACCCAATGGACTATTAATGAGCAGTAAAAAGGACTGAAGTACTGATACAGTATGGATTAACCTCAAAACCACTAGGCTGAGAGGAAGCAGCCAGACCCAAGAGTACACACCACAGCAAATCTATAGGGACAGAAAGTAGACAGTAGCTCTGTAAAGTCTAGGGCCGGGAGAGAGAGAGAGAGACTGGGGGTACCTACTGTATTGGCCCATTTATGTAAAAACTCTAGAAAAGACAAATTTTACCTAGTGACAGAACAAATCAATGGCTGCTTAGGGATAGGGATGGGAGGGGACTGACTAGGATGGAAGCCAAGGAACTTGGAATGATGCAAATACCCTGGAGTGGTGGTTACACGGATATGTACAATTATCAAACTTATTTAAGTGTACAGTTAAAATATGACTGTATAAGCTGTACCTCAATAAAATTGATTATAAATAGGTCCAAACCCAAAGCTAAACAAAAATCAGCAAGACTACAAATTCACTGAAATCATTTTTGAAGTATTAAATGGTTGTCCTGAAAACCTGCAAAGGTGCTTTAGGAAATGTGAAAACACATGGTGTCAGAGTATTTTATTCAAATTGTTAAAATGAGACAACTGAAAAAACTGCTACACGACACATACAATTGTCTATCCATGAAAGACTGGTTCCAGGAACTTCTGCTAATACCAAAATTCACAAATGCTCAAGTCCATTGTATAAAGTGGCGTAGGATTTGCATATAACCTACACATCCTCCTATATGCTTTTTTCCCCCCCGAGTCCTATTGCTAGGCAACTCCCATATACTTTAAAATCCTTATTTATGATACCTAATGCATTGTAAATAGTTGTTATACTGTATTTTTTATTTGCATTATTTTTTTAAATTTTGAGGCTGCAGGGTACATGTTGTTATATAGGTTAACTCACGTCACAGCGGTTCATTGTACCCATTATGTCATCACCCAGGTACTAGGCCTAGTACCCAACAGATTTTTTTCTGATCCTGTCCCTCCTTCTAGCTTTCACCCTCAAGTAGGTCCCAGTTTCTGTCATTCCCCTTTGTGTCCATGTGTTCTCATTAAGCTCCCATATATTATTTTCTCATAGTATTTTTTCTTTCAAATACTTTCTATCGACAGTTGGCTGAATATGCAGATGGAGGGCCAAGTTACTTTTTTCAAGTCCAGGTGCCTGAATTATTTTAGTGGTATCATTTAAGGTTTTGTGTTTGTTTTTCAAAGAAATCTGGGGTAGCTGGACTCCAAACTCTTGCTAGAGAAAAATAAGCATAGTGAGCTTAAATCAAAAAGAACATTCCTTCATGGTTTTGGTAATTTTTGCTACCGTTTCCAGAAGCTGTAAAGGTTATTCTTAAAGCCCTGGCTGGGGATGAGCACCTACTGACCTAAACATGCAGTCAGCTGCCACTTCTGGGGTATTGTTCACCTCTGGGTAACATTAAGAAGTATCAAAAAGTACTAACTTTCTATGAAAAGGATGTAAAGTTCCAGGAGCAAGTCAGGTTTTCCAGGTTTACTTTAGGGAAAACGTCAAATCTTACTCCTCTCCACCCCCCAATACCAGATGCATATCTTAAAACAGGAACTTAAAAAGTATTACCATAGAAATTGATCAATAGATTTTTAGATGTAGAAACATTAAGGTTTGCTTAATACACATAACACTCATTAAGGAATGTATCATAGAGCGTAGACATCTTGCTTTCAAAATTTTTATTTTTTGAGACAGAGTCTTGCTCTGTCACTAGGCTGGAGTGCAGTGGCATGATCTCGGCTCACTGTAACCTCCGCCTCCTGGGTTCAAGCAATTCTACTGCCTCAGCCTCCTGAGAAACTGGGACTACAGGCATGTGACACCATGCCTGGCTAGTATTTTGTATTTTCAGTAGAGACGAGGTTTCACCATTTTAGCCAGGATGGCCTCAATCTTCTAACCTCGTGATCTGCCCGCCTCAGCCTCCCAAAGTGCTGGGATTACAGGCATGGGCCACCGCACCTGGCCCAAAATTTATGTTTTTTTGTCTAACTGTTGCCCAGGCTGTAGAGCTGTGGTGCGATCTTGGCTCACTGCAACCTCCACCTACCAGATTCAAGCAAATTTTCATGCTTCAGCTGACTAGCTGGAACTACAGGTGTGCGCCACCACACCTGGCTAATTTTTTAAGTTTCGTAGAGATGGGGTTTTGCCACACTGGCAATGCTGGTCTGAACTCCTGGCTTCAAGTGATCCACCCACCTTGGTTTCCCAAAGTGCTAGGATTATAGGTGTGAGCTACCGCTCCTGGCCGCTTTCAAAATTTATATAGCACCGTGTATTGACTCCAGTACAGACTTTTACCCACTTGGAAAATTTATTTAAATGAAGGACTTAAGTGTTGTAGCCTTGAATGTTTGCTCTTTAGGAGCTTATTTCGAAGTGCTTGTGGCAGCAGTACTTATATTTGAAGAGCTAAACTACAGCTCAGATCTCTTACTTCATACCACATCATGTTCTCCTTTAGTCCAGATCTTCTATTTTTTTCATCCTAGTTCCTGCTTACTGATTTTTTTTGTAAAAATAAAGGATATATACTTCACATGTCATATGGTAGTCATGTTCATGTTTTCAACCATTCCTATATGCTCCAAGTAAAGAAAATAATATCATATGAAAACTATGCCAGGAGTTAAGACAACCATACCGTTTGAAAACACAGCAGTCAAATTTCCAATTTACCACCTCACATATTAAGATGATTTTTTTTAAACAAACTTAACAGGCGATGGATACCCCATTCTCTATGAGCTTATTTCACATTGCATGCCTGTATCAAAATATCTTCCATACCCCATAAAGCCTGTAATTCCAGCACTTTGGGATGCCAAGGTGGGTAAATCGCTTGAGCCTAGGAGTTTGAGAACAGCATGGGCAACATAGCAAAACCCCATTTCCAACCCCCCACCACATACACAAACAAAACAAAACACCTAAACAACAAACAAAACTCCGGCCAGCCATGGTGGTGCATGCCTGTAGTCTCAGCTACTTGGGAGGCTAAGGTTGCAGTGAGCTATGACTGCACTACTACGCTCCAACTTGGTCAACAGAGAGACTGTCTTGGGAAAACCCCCACAAAACAAAAATGCCAACAACATTCATTTCTGATGAAGGATAACATGGTCTCTCATTTCAAGGGGTAGGGCTGGGGGGGAAAGCTTTTCACATCTTAATAAATGCAATTCTTAAATCTCACAAATGCTTTCTCTGTGCCAGGTGCTGGGGACCTAGAGGTGAACAAGACTTTACAAAGTTCTTACTCTCACGGAATTAACTACAACCTTACATTTAATCAAAGTGAAAATGTGGGAATATGTAAGGTAAATAAAAAGGTACACATAGTAAACAACTTAGAGAATTTATTTAGAAAGTAGAAAATAAAAAGTATGGTCGTAACATCTATTTAGAATATAAGCAAAATTAGAAACTTAAGCTACAGAAAAATACAGAGATACTGAAGTTGGTTTAATGGCTATCCAACAAACAGAAACAAGCAAAACCCAAGTTACTTTCATGCAAATAAGCATTAAGGAAAAGAATATGGGAATGTTTACAGAATGCACCATGGCAAATATTTTTCAAATTTACATAAGAAACTGTACATAAATGAAAAAATAAATTAGGTAATTTACAAGAAATGTTTTACAGGTTGCAATAGGCTATAACTTAGTTTATTATGAATAAAATTTGTATCACATCATACATTTTTACATCACAGATTCAGTGTTGAAAGAATTCAAACATGATAAAGCTTAGATTTGACAAGAATAAAGTAATAGACAGAGTAAGGCAACTTAAACTGAAATGGCATGTGTAAGTAAAATTAATCCTCAAAGGATTCTTTAGATTGGGACATAATAACATCTTCTGAGTATGATTTGGTCAAAAACAGGGCATTAAGATAAATGTCATTCAATTTTAGTTAAAAAGTCGGTTTTTAGCTGTAGTTTAAATAAAAAGTAAAAGCACACGGTGTATAAAAAATAATAAAAACCACCTTAGTATCACTTACATCCTAATATTATTAATTATATTCAGGACAAGCAGACTGGGATATCGGTGTTACTTCTATAAAGTTACCTTCTATTTCTAAATGCTGTAAACTAAACTAAACTAAAACAGGTTCCCCAGAAAAAAGTGGCAAATTCCAAATGGCTTAATACCTGTGAAAACTATTGACCGAGCTAGCTATGACCTTGATGAAATTGAGACATACAATGTAAAGTTGAGATAATCCCAAATTATTCTACATTATTTATGCATACTTTACAAATATGTAAACATGGAAATGTTTTCTTAGAAAGCTACTGGAACTGTAAGAACTACAATGCATGAAGGAAAGATATTTAGAAATAAAAAAATTTAATAATATCCTACAATTGAATCAGTTGCATATTTATATCATTCAAAATCTAGATTTTAACCTCATTCACTCCTTTGAAAAATACATTCCTCTTTTGTTCTTTTAAATGCAAAATTAGTGGCAGTTGCAGCAAAAACACTGAAATTCTAAAAGAAAAAATATTTTGACTACAGGAGCTAGAACGTAAATTAAGATTTTCAGATTTTTCTTAAGAAAATAAAATTGATTTACCCCAAACACATCATTCATGCTAACTGCAGTACCTGAAATCCCAGTATCAGCTCGGTGTACATTTATTTATTAATTTACTTATTTTTGAGACAGAGTCTTGCTCTGTTGCCCAGGCTGGAGAACAGTGGGATGATCTACCCTCTGCCTCCGGGTTGAAGTGATTCTCCTGTCTCAGCCTCCCGAATAGCTGGGACTACAGGTGTGCGCCAACAAGCCTGACTACTTTTTATATTTTTAGTAGAGACGTGGTTCTTCCCACATTTATCCCCACTCACAATGATCAGAAATAATAAACAGCTTTTTAAAAAGGGCCACTAAAAAAATCCCAAATATATGTAATATAAACAGCCTAACTTAACAATGATTTGACTTACAGTTTTTCAACTTTACAATGGTGCAAAAGCAATACACATTCAGTAGGAACTGTACCTCAAAATTTCGTATTTTGGTATTATCCTGGGCTAACGTTATGTGAGATTAATTAAACACTTTATTATAAAATAGGTTTTGTATTAGATGATTTTGCCCAGCTATAGGTCAATGTTAAGTGTTCTGAACACATTTAAGATAGGCTAGGCTAAGCTACGACGTTTACTAGGTTAGGTGTATTAAATGCATTTTCAACTTATGGGATTTTCAATTTACAATGGGTCTAATGGAACATAACCCTATCACAAGTCAAGAAACAACTATATTCCAACATTTATGAATATGTTTGTTGTACAATGAAAAAGTCATAATGCCCATATAATTCTGAAGTTAACACAGTAAAAATTCCAGATAACCTTTACAGATTTAAAAGTACACATACATTTTAATATACATATAAAACCTTTCATATTACTTTAAGGTATATCTACTTGGCCATTACAGGCAATAACATATTAAGAGAGAATACCATCCTATTGGTTTAGCGAGAATCCAAAACCTAGTACCTATAAATATACACCAATAAAAATTATGTAATAACTTAAAATTATATAAGCATTAAACATTAACTACAAAGCATGACACCAAATACCTGGAAAAAAAAATATTTCAGTTATCCCAAATACTGCCATGAATGAAGCAACTTTCTCAGGACCCAGAAAACAGACTCATTTCCCATCATAACAAACCAATTCCCTCATTTTACAAATAAAAATAATGTTCACAGAGGCAAGACCAGTGACCAACACTACCTCTAATGCAATACCAAATATGACCTCACATTCACTGAATATACAGGATTAATGCAAATAGTGACTACTTTAAGAAAACATGTGAACTTCTTGCAGGTAAAAATTAATTATTCAAAATTTAGATATGGTAGAAAAGCTGGGATGATTCATTTTCATACTACCATTATCTTGAATGGGCTATCCAAATACCCCGAATGATAGGAAAGAGTTACTCACTTTTTTAGGCCTTTAGTGTATTACTAGGCTCAGCAGAAATCAGAAGACAATTATTCTCTTAAATATTGAAAAGAGGCAGTAATATAGATAAAACATTGTTTTCTGAGATCATCTGATGATAGAAATAAAGTTGGCTAAATTCCTTAGGTATCAGAATAAAACACATTAGAATAAACATAAACTTGGTCATTGATACCTCATGGCAGATCACTTTAAATGAGGTCAAAGAGTATTATTACAAAAAGACAATATATTTCTAATGTTTTGTTTACACATACCACAAAACAGTAAGTTAAATACAAAATAATGTACACTCCTTTTCATTATCCTCTATCAGTTTTCACATGGCTTTAAACAGTGAAAGAAGTTCTAAACTACTTTCTAAATGCAAAAGACTAAAAAGCATAAAGTGCTTAACAGAAAAAGATACAATAAAATATGAAAAAAAAATTGCTAATGATATATAGAGTGGTTATAAAGAACATTTGGAAATTACTACCCAGTTAAGCTTTCCACCCAAGAATAAACCTTAAACATCAAGACAAGATGTAACAGACTACTCTTTGAAGGCAAGAATACGCTGGAATAAGAGGAAAACCTTTTCACTTTGTGCTGCATCATTCTGTTTACAGAAACAGTCTTTCAGGAACTGGTATTTACAATATAGCAATCACATATACACCCGAAGGTAAAAAAAAAAAAACAAAACTCTCAGAAAATTTTATGGAGTATTTGGGCAAATAATCTGAACCACTTTAAGGGCTTTCAATTATCATATATATTACTGGCAATAGCACTGACTTTACCCAAACTAAGAGACCACCTAATTTCCAACTTATTTAGAGCAGCTGAGCAAGGAACTGCCATGTCAAATTACATGACAAGTTTACTAATAAAGACTTAGTCTTTGGAAAAGATGAGAGTAGAACTTAAAATCACTAGTTCTAAAAGTCTCTTAATTAAAAGGCAATCTTCTCATAGGGGCGGGGTGGTGGTAATGGGAAATTCTGTATCATGTGTTCTTTGTCTAGCCTCACAGCAAACCGAGCGCTCCTTGCATTTGAAAGTTACATTTTTTAAGAATGAAAATTAAGCACAAAAGTTACAAAGATTTTTTTGTGTATAGGTCTACAATGCATTAAAGTTACTTTTTAATCCTTAAAAACCGGCTGCTCTTAAGTCCAATTCAAATTTTAGAAATGAAGGCAATGGAATCATTAGATTTGCTTTAGTGAAGTATGTATAGTATTTTGGATTGCTGGGAACTGTGCTGTTACTGTGCCCAGTTAACTCATAACTATCTCAAATGTGTTCTACTGCAAAGATTCAGTTCCCCTAAGGGAACCTGACACAGTACCAAGGTCAAATGGTTAACAGATGTGTATAAGCATGACATGTCCCTAAAGCAACAACACACTTAAACTAGATAATAATTTTTCAGGAAGAGCAATCCAACTAGAAAGTTGGAGGTTCAGTTGGAGCGACCTGCCACTGCTACTGCAAACTGAAGAGTGTGGCCACAGTATGCCAGGGAATGGGGCCTGGTCCAACTTCAGAGAAGGCCACAAAGACCAAGGTAACCCCACTACAGACAAAGCTCATTCACCATACTCATCCTTTAATAAACAGTCATGAGGACAGAACAAAAAGCCATCACTCCAAGACCTATCATACGTAAAGTCCTTCCTGCCCTTTCAACCAGAAAGACTACAGTAAAGAAGATAGTATTAACCAGACCTGCACTAATCTATAGATTGGCTTCTCAACACCTGCGTCCTTGAAGATTCTCATTGAGTAATAGAGAAGACAACATCGATTCCAGAGAGCTACTGAGAGCTGGAGTACAATGGAAATGACAGTGGGCTGTCAGTAGCTGGGTAAAGAGCTCCAGCACAGGGACTTGCTTTTCTTGTACTATCCTAGCGTTTTTATATTTCATCTCCCAGATGTCCTGGGACACATCCTGAGTCTCCTACAATTGCTGGAGGGTCTCATTAGTACTCTTCCTTTCTGTTAATGAGCAAAAATTTATGACTTGTAGGGCAAAATGGAAGGGCTACACTTTACAGGACAGCTGAAAGGATGGTAAAGCCCAGTATCGCTGGGCTTAGCTCTTTAGACCCCAAGATGAACTCCAGACCAAAGATCTGGGCCTCCAGAATACCAACAATGATGCCCAGCTGGTTGAGAGCACTAAAAGTACTCCAAAGGGCAGTAGGCAAGATTTCTCCAATGTACATGGGCACAAAACCTGTGCAGGGTCCATAGAACAAGCTAGTAACCAAGTAGCCCATGATCAGCATTTCAATCAACTCAGTTTTTTTGCAGAATCCAGTGAGGCAGCCACCAGTGATAGCCAACAAATTGATAAGCATTGAATTGCACCTGCCAAAGTGGTCGACAAAGAGTGCAACAGAAAGAAGCCAATCATATCATCATTGGGGAAGATGGCCACAGACAAGGGCCAAGGGTACATGAGCAACACCTCAGACGGAGAGTCTTCTAACCTCTCTTTCAAAGTATAATTGAGAAAGTCCTTTGTGATTGTCTCAGGAGCACTGATGACTCCAATGCTGTAGCCAAACTGAAAAGAAGTGGGGTGACCTTCTGTGTCCCCATGGCCCTTATCTAATTCTTTTCAAATCTTCAAAAAAGAGCTAGGAGTGGGATTCCAAAGGCACCTCTTTCAGCCAACAAAGCCTTCAAAGTGTGCAGCAAGTTTTCAGGTCCTCAGTAACGCTCTGAAACTCATTCATCATTACAGGGTATCTGTGTTCTTGCTTTACCACATTTATCTCAGGCCCAAACTTAGTCATTTCTTTTTATTACATCTGAACCATCAAAGCTAAATATTTTATACTATTATGAACAACAGCAATGATACCATGTTTACGCCAAATAAATGTTATGGAAATCTAACAGATGAGTTGTTTTGAAATTTTGTGGGAGTCTGAGACAATATTGCAGAATTACTAAAGGATCAATGTTTAGTACATTCTGGTAATAAAAGCATAATAGTTCCAAAATTTGTAAATCCTTTTACCTGGGAATTTATTCTCTTTTCAATTTATTTTTTATAGTGATTACAAAGTTTTTCAGATTTTTATGTTGGGAAGGTAACACTGGAGGTCCAATAGTTTAGTCAAGTTGTTTGAGTCTTTTGCTAATGGTTTAGGAAGTAGAAATACTTGGGGGTAAAATTGACTTTTTTTTCTTTTGAAATGGAGTCTTGCTCCGTCACCCATGCTGGAGTGTAGCGGCATGATCTTGGCTCATTGCAACCTCTGCCTCCCAGGTTCAAGCAATTCCCTGCCTCAGCCCCCTGAGTAGCTGCGATTACAGGCATGTGCCACCATACTTGGCTAAATTTTTGTATTTTCGTAGAGACAGGGTTTCACCATGTTGGCCAGGCTGGTCTTCAACTCCTGACCTCGTGATCCACCCGCCTTGGCCTCCCAAAGTACTGGGACTACGGGCACGAGCCACGTGCCCAGCATAAAATTGACTTCTATACATTACCAGTAAATCTAGATGTACCTTAAAAAACCTAAAAAATTGTTTACATTACGCAAGGAAGTTATCAATATGGGGTTTTTTTTTGCTTGTTTTACAGACCACAGTTTTACTTAATAGACAATTTTCAGTAGACTATCAAGAGATGCATGATAAACACATTTCCCCATGCAGTTTTCAAATTTTGTACTCAAGTTCTTACATTTGACTACAGGCATGAGCCACTGTACCCAGCCTCGAATATTTAAAATTCAGTTTTCTTTACCTGAAGACATGAATGTATGAATTCTAAGAGTGGTTATTCAGGAGGAAAAGCATGTAAAGGTAACTTTTTAGAATTTAGACTGTTTGAAACTTTGAATTCATGTCAGTCAGTAGCCATTTTAAAACCCTACAATGACCTCATATTCCTTGCTTTAATGTTTCCATGTTGCGACTAAATATTTGAGCCAAAATTCCATTAGTCCAATTTATTTTAAAGGTTTCTGACTTGTAAATCTGTATAGATAAGAATCTTAATTGAATGATAGTAACTGCAAGTTTTATGCCTGTGACAAATACTGTATTAGCAGCTACAGATTTAGGGCAGTCTTTAAGAAAAAATGGAATGGTCAAAGTTATCTGATCACTGTGCTTTGGTTAATGCGGAACTATGATTTATATATTTTGCCCTTTCAAACTGAAATTACCTGCTAAAGTGCCATGTAAAGTCAGCAACCATCTCACCACTGTGTTTGTTGGCGCTTAGCTTTTCTCATATGTATTCTACAATTACTGAATAAGAACACAAAATCTTAATAAAGGCTGCCAAAGATTATAATTTTTTATTAAGATCTCAAGTAACTCCCCATAAGCTTACTGTGGTAAACAGATTTGGTTCTAATATTACACTTCCTCAAAGCTCTAAGTTCTTAAAACAGTACTGTCTTAAGAGAGATAAAATGTGAACAATACGTGATTTTATCTTTTCTAGTAAGCCTATTAAAAAAAAAAAACCCACAAGAAACAGATCTTTTTTTTTTTTGAGATGAGTCTCACTCTGTTGCCCAGGCTAGAATACAGTGGTGCAATCTTGGCTCACTGCAGCCTCTGCCTCCTGGGTTCAAGCTATTCTCCTGCCTCAGCCTCCCAAGTAGCTGAGACTACAGGCACACACCGCCAGGCCTGGCTAATTTTAGTATTTTTAGTAGAGACAGAGTTTTGCTCTGGTTGGTCTCGAACTCCTGACCTCAGGTGACCCACTCACCGCTGCCTCTCAAAGAGCTGGTATTACAGGCATGAGCCACTGTGCCCGGACAAGATTCATTTTAATTGTATGTTTTTCTTTAACCCAATATTCCCAATGTTAACATTTCAACATGTAATCAATACAAAAAATTAGAAGATATTTAACCTTTTATTGTCCCTAGTCTTCAAAACCAGTGTATATTTTACACTTAGAGCACATCTCAGTTTGGACTAACCAATTTCAAATGCTCAACAGCTACATACAGGTAGCGGCTGCTGTATTTGGACAGCGCAGTTCTAGAACTGCCTCTTAAAAATGAACACTATCACTGTCCTTGAAACTTTATTTGAGCTAGTTTATTTTATACAAACTGTATTTCTGATTATTCCTGAAATATCTTATATTGGCATCCTGCCATTTCATTGTAGAACCTATCATTTTTCCACTGATACTGATAAAGTTGCCTAAGACGTATCTTCCTACACGGAGGAAATAAGAGGAAAAAACCCCCTTTGGGTTGGATATATTAAAACTCATCCCACTATATCCCTACGTATATAAGTAACATTGCCTCTGCTGAGGGGAATTTGCATCCAGAACTTCAAAATTCAGACTCATCCCTTTCCGAGTTAGACAGTCGGGGAAAGAACTTCCTAAATCTTAAGGTCGAGGGTAGAGGGCTCAACCCCACTCCAGATTCAGGCAAGGGGAACAGGAAAGAGTGAGATCAGAGCATGTGGCCTCTTGGGGTCCCTCGATGGGGGCTGTGGGGAAGTGGAAAGCATTCTTTTAAGGTGATAAGAAGCAAATGGAAAACTTGCTTCTAACTCTGGAGCTTTCAGAGGGTTAGAGGAGGTGGGAGGGATTTACTCCTGCCATGGATCATGGGCACTTCTACAATCAACTCCTGGTTTTGCAGTATGTTTATAAACGGAATAAATGCAGACTGGACCTCAATGACACTCAGCGTCTCTTCCCCTTTTCCTATATTGCTCAATCATCCTTTCCCTCCTTTGCTCTTACACATTTCAAACCCTTGCCAATAACAGTATTTTAGTTATCAGTTCTCACCATTCCCTCTGGTTGTTGAGCGTTTGGATAAAAATTCACATGGCTATGGAGGGTTTTTTTTTTTTTTTTTTTTTTTTTTTTTTTGGAAAAGGCAACCTTCCTCTAACTGTTCCTCTATTTCTGGCTCCTCAAACAGTGAAGGGTGATAATAAGGCATGGTAGAGGTTTTCTCATTTTTCAGTCACTAGTATTTCCATATTAATTTCCCACTATTGTTACTGTGTTATTTTAAAATAAAAATTCTGAATGTATCATATGACTGGAAAAAAAAAAAAAAAAAAAAAACACACAGTGTACAAAAAACAGATTCCATTAGAATAGTTCCAGGACCTCATTAGACAGACTCTCAAGTAAGTAATTAAGCCTCCAATCTTAAAATGTTAAACATTTCAACATGTATTGATTAATTCCTGTAAAATACAGAAAGTGCAACATCACCAAATGTGCATTTCCTAGGATTCATTTTAGAATTCACGTGAAAATTTAGTAATAGTATTTCAGTTAATTATGGGATTTGAGAAAAGATACTTATGGGGAAAGATCACATAAACATGCTTTGGGGTGATATGTTAAAAAAACTACAATAATTAGAAGTATTGCCTTAACATTTCTAAAATCACATAAAAATGATCATCTTTGATTGCCATTTCAGTAATTTTGGATACAGGGTATGTTATTTTCTGCTCACTAGTAATCAAAACACATAAAGCAGACTTGTAACAAATATTCAGAGTCGATTATTTTCATAAGCTAAACATTTCCAAGACTTTAAGATTTGTGTTTGAGCATACAGTACTGCAATGTTGGCTACATAAAATAAAAAAATCTTTTTGAGAGGAAGCTCAATAATCAGAGGCTGTATTGCATTTAAGGATTTAACACTGGCTATATACAAAAGGGAAAGCATTTCAGTGAGAAATACTTCACATTACTAAGTTCTCTCCTTTAATTATGGCAACATTCAGCAGCTTATGCTACTCTTTTATCCTTTGGTTCCCAGTGACAAACAATGCAGTAATAATGCCTCTGGTTTTAGTTCCTCTTGGATGACATTTATTAGCAGAGAGAGAGACCTGATTCTTTAGCTGAAATTTGGCAGCCCAAGAAGTGCACCAACTGCTCCAAAGTATCCCTGTATAATTTAAAAATAACTGTTATATAGTGCAGCTTTTAAATTAGCATACAATATTAATCACTTGAGAACACACAATTATGCACAATCTGTTTAATAATATTTGGAAATCTACCAATTTCTGCATTGTTAGCTATTATAAAAAAATTTCTCAATCTGTATTCTTGATTTCTACACACCTCTGCAATATGTATTTTTATTTATTATTATTATTTTTAGAGACTGGGTCTCACTATGTTGCCCAGGCTGGCCCTGAAATCCTGAGCTCAAGTGGTCCTCACATCTCAGCCTCTTAAATAGCGGGGACTATAGGCTCACACTGAAATATGTATTCTAAAAGTGTGGCCTTTAGACACTAAAGCTTTCAGGACTGTAATAGCAATTCTGTACCCTCTCCCCTTTACTTAATAAACAAACTAACTTCCTGTGGCTGTGCCTGACACTCTCATTGCATGCCCTGTGGAATTGCA